AAGGCGAGATTCGGGTGCAGGTCTGTGTGTGTGTTCTATCTCCCCAAGTTAGTTCATAGTTATACATCAGCCATGATGAAAAGACTTGAGATTGGCCTGGCAGTGGTGGCACACGCCTCTAATCCCAGCTCTTGGAAGGCAGAGGCAGGTCAGCCTGGTCTACAGAGCGATTTTTGGGATGACTAGGGCTACACAGCGAAACCCTGTCTTGGAAAAAGCAAACAAGCAAAAAATACTTGAATAAATTTTTTTAAACTCTGGTTGTTAGAGGTACATTGGAGGTTTTCCCCTCTTTAACTATTGAAGGGTTCTGGCTAGCCCACGTGTGGTAGCGATGGCTTTGGCAGGCCTTGCCCTTCTCCCCCATTCCCTCTGCCTTCTTGAAAAAAAAAAAAAAAACTAACAAAGTCTATTTCCTTGTTTGGCCACTTCCTCCTCCTGAGGCCAACTACCAAAGTTCAGCTATCAGAGTACTGGCGTCCAGCAATCAGAAGCCCCCTTTGGCTCACCTAGTTAACATGCCCAGTTAGAATTAAGCACCTCATCCTAACGTGCCGGTTCCCCTTGTACCTTTATAAACCATTTGCCTATGGGCCATGTCTGTCTCCTCTCTATCCAGAGGCAGCCCTTTGTCCTCTGGGACAAATATTCCTTTCCTATATCCCTTGTTCCTTTCCCCTTCTCCCTTATTCTCTATCTCCTGTGTTTGTCCCTTGTCCCTGCCCTCTGTCCCTCTGGAGCAAATCAGTCTTCTTTGTGCTGAGAACTTGGTCTTGGGGTTCCAGTGCTGTTATTTTTCCTTTTATCTATCTCCTCTCCCTCCAAAAGATGATGATAAAGTTGTTTAGATGAGGCTGGGAGTGTGGCCCAGTGGTAAAGCTCTCATCTAGGCTATATGAGGTCCTGAGTTTTTTTTTTTTTTTTTAAAGAAGTTGGTAGTATCTTGTTTGGTTGTATTTTTTTTAAGAGGAGGACCATGAGGAGGTCACTTAAAGGTGAGAAGGTTCAGAAGATAGGCTCTTTTTTTTTGCTTATTTATTTATTTATTTATGCACCATTCTACCTCCATGTATGTTAGAAGAGGGCACCAGATCTCATTACAGATGGCTGTGAGCCACCATGTGGTTGCCAGGAACTGAACTCATGACCTCTGGAAGAGCAGCTAGTGCTCTTATCCTCTGAGCCATCTCTCCAGCCCACAAATATTTTACTTATTTCTTTTTTAAATCACAATGTGTATTTTTTAATTTTTAATTATTTATTATGTATACAACATTCTGTCTCCGTGTATGTCTGGGTGCCACTAGATGGTACCAGATCTCATGAGAGATGGCTGTGAGCCATGATGTGGTTGCTGGGAATTGAACTCAGGACCTCTGGAAGAGCAGCCAGTGCTCTTAACCTTTGAGGCATCTCTTCAGCCCCCATGCTTTTATAATTTATCATATCTTTCCATAAATATTTTGATCTCTCTTTCTCAATTTTCTGTTAGATTAGTAACACTCTCCATTCTTTACCTTGCCATTTCTTCCTTGCACTGGCTCCTTTAGGAGCTCTGGATTCTGTTGGTTGACCTTAATTTTGTAACAAATATACCCTATCAATAAGGATGCATTGAGGAACCTGGGACACTAATAAATACTATGGCTGGGTATAGGATTTTTGACTTACATTTTTTGCTGTACTAGAAGACAGTGGGAATTTACTCATACATGCTCCATGTCCTTCTTTTTCATTAAAACCTTTTCCCTTTTTGTTTTGTTTTGTTTTTGGAGACAGGGTTTTGCTGTAGTTTTAGAGCCTGTCCTGGAACTAGCTCTTGAAGACCAGGCTGGCCTCGAACTCACAGAGATCCACTCGCCTCTGCCTCCTGAATGCTGGGATTAAAGGCGTGCGCCACTACCGCCTGGCTCATTATAACCCTTTCAAATTGCATTTATGACTGTGGGCACTGGCTCCAAATCGTGAGAGAACTATTGACACATTTCTTCTGGAAAACTATGTGCTTCCCTGTGGAGTGGAAGACTTTGCTGATCCCCAGGCTTTCCAGGCCGTTTCAGAGTAGGCCTGGGTGTGGGCTATAGTGTCTTTTCAGAGTTCCTTTGGAGTCATACGCTCACCCCCACCCTAGAGGAGCACTGGATGGGTAGTATTCTCAGCATCCATTTCTTAGTGACACCGTCTGAACACATGTTTAGCAGAATGAAACCTGTCCATGTAACAGTATTAGGAAGAAGATGATAAGCACACAGTTATCGTATACAATGCTAAGTGTCCTAGCCAGAGGCTCCACAGAGAGGAGCTTTAAAAGCCTCTACCGTGGGAAGCTGCGGATAACATCACATGGGGGCCCCAGAAAAGTAAACAGTGGGAGCTGTTGATTTGCCCAAAAGACGGGCTTTTCTCTGCGTTGAAATTCTGGCGATCTTGATGGGATTATCACTGACTAGTAAGCAGCCGTATTGGGTATGGTAGGCAGCAGGATGAGTTCTACAAAGTGCAGAGTCTGAACTGCCCAGGGTCTAACAAGACAGCTTAATCTGGCAGGCCTTTGCTGTGTCTGGGATAAATCTGGTCGCTGTGGTATATCAGTGGCAGCTGGTCTAAGGGAAGATCATGTCACAGAAGGCAAGAGCACAGCTGTGAGCAATAGGACAGATGTTAGGACTCCAAGAGGTAAGGTTGCGGACCCAGGGAAGCTAGAAGTGACCGGATTGGTCGCTGTTGTGAGTTGAATTATGTTGGAGTGCTAATTCCAGGTAGCTCAGAACATGGTCTTATTTGGAGATGGGGTCTTTGCAGAGGTAAAGTGGGGCCCTATTGGAGTAAGGCGGTATGCTCTGCGACTGATACCCTTATAAGATGTGAAGGCATAAAGACCAAGAAGATGCTTTGTGGAGACGGAGGCAAGGTGTAGGGAGAGACCTACAAGGCAGCTGTGGAGACGCAGTGTGAAGATGGGCAGAGACTGGAAGGCACAAGGAATCCTGATGGCCACCCAGGCTGTAAGAGGCAAGGGAAGCGCGCTCCTCTAGTCCTCAATGGAAGCATCGCCCCACCAACACCTTGATTTCGGATGTACAGGCTTGGAGCTGTGCAAAAGTGTCTCCATTGCCTTAAGCTATGTGGTTTGTGTCAAGGTGTCGCTGCAGCCACAGGCAACTCATACAGATGGCTTAAGGAGAAAGATGGTCACAGGCACCAGTTAGGATGTGCAGAAAATAAATCTCAGTTTGCTAGTGGGGTTGCAAAATTGCTCGGCTTCTTTGGAAAACGGTTTATCCATTCTGCACTCTGTTCAAACGAAGCTACCACATGGCCCAGCAGTCTCACATCTACATGTGTACCTAAGAGAAGCGCGTTTGCACAAACCTGTCTATGAGCACTGTGGCTGCCTGAATGAGACTGGCCCCCTGAACATCTGAGTGCTCAGGCACCAGAGTGGAGGAACTGTTTGAAAGGATTAGCAGAAGTAGGAAGTGTGGCCTTGTTGGAGTAGGTGCAACCTCCGTGGAGCAAATGTCACTGGGTGATGTCTCAAAATCCTACACTAATCCCGGTCTCCCTCCCTCCCTCTCTTTCTCTCTCTCCCTGCAGCTCAGGATGTAGCTCTCAGGTACTGCTGCAGCACCACGCGTGAGGTCCTCCTCCCTGCCGTGATGACAATGGACTTACTCCCCAACACAGCCCCCAATTAATGCTTTTTAATACGAGTTGCCATGGTCATGACATCTCTTCACAGCAACAGCTAGTGACCAAGAGAAGCACTCGTTGCATTTCTATCTATAATACCCAGAGAGTAGGCACGGCCCCAGTGCCTGCCGAGCGACGGGATTTCATTGGCTTGTTACGTTCTTATAGCTTTTTATTAAAGGAAGGAATGATAGCATGTACAAGATGAACGAACTTAAAACATGTTAAACGAAAGATGCCAGTTGCAAAGACCATATGCCACATAGAACCACTCACATAGATGTCCAGATGAGAGCCGGGGCGATAGCGCCATGATAGAGTACTTGCCTTACAAGGCCTGAAAAATCTGGAATAACAAAATCTTGTAAAGTTGGTTAATGGCTGTCTAGTGCAAAGGGAAGAGAGACCAGAGTGGCTGTGAAATAGATAAAGGGCTTCTTTTTACAGTAATTCAGTAGTTGGGGTGGAGTCCAGACTCTAAAGTCCACCAAGCTCTCCCCTTGACTAGAGAAAGTGTGACTATTGACAGGAACTTTGCTGTTGATAGAGATCCTTAAGAGAGAGCTAAGGCAGAGGACTTCCTCTCCTTGCTCTTTCCAGATACCTTCGTAAGTGTTGCAGGCCGGGTCTCCTAGTCTCTAAGAATGCACAGAAAACCACACTGGCAACTGGCTCCCTCCTTTGGAATTTGTACTCTATCTGCTATGAAAAAAATTGGCTATGTGGGACCACAGTCGGAGAGTGGTTTGTTTACTTCCTAGGTAGAGTTAGCATGTCTATTCAAAATGAATACCATTTTGAAGCTAGCAGTTGCTAGTGTTTCCTGCTCCCTGTTCTCACTGGTCTCTTTAGCGCCCTCTTTTTCCATTTTTCTGCTGTATTTTTCACTCTTAGCAAGAACCCAGAACAAAAGATCACAAACGTACTCTTCATTCAAGCTGCTTACTGCGTCTGCTGCACAGATTACTGATGCCATGGGGTCCCACCCTACCCTCTTAGTCCAGCCATTGCTTCCTTCTATGTAACACCCTCCACTGTGACTTCTGCCAACTGCGGAGAGCTTTTCTATTTATTTTTTCAAAAGTCTTGAAGACACTCGTTTCGCGGAGTGCACGCTCGAAGCTCTGCACCCGCTTGTGTGAAGGGTGGGAAGTGTGTGTTGATGAATGAGCAGAGTCTGCTGCTTCCCAAAGCTGCTTCTGCTGTGTGGTTATGACTTCCAGCCCAGGTGGGAGGGGCTGCCCTGTTTCGCCTCCAGTGAGGAGTGGTTCTGCAGGCTGCTCACCTGTCCTGGCTTCTGATTGCAGAGGTGGTCCAGTTCATCCAGGCTGAGAAAAACAACAAGGGCCCCATGGAAGCTGCCTCCCTGTTCCTCCAGTACCTGCTGCAGCTGCAGACGGAAGGCTGGTTCCGGGCCTTTTTGGATGCCCTGTACAGTGCAGGTTGGTTCCTTCTTCTCACTCACAAACCAGAGTTACTTCACTCTGCTGAGTTTGAATGCCGTAAGGGAAAAGGGATTAATTTTGAGGCGTCTGTGTCTAGTTCGTGCCTCGTTGTTCAAGGACAGGTAAGGACCATATTCAGGCAGATGATAGAATTATCTACCAGAAACATCCACAGGAACCTACAGGATTGTTTTAACTGGGGGAGAGGCAACCGTGTTACTAGAATACCAATGTCTTTCAAGAGGAGAACGAGCAAGTCAGTTTTATAGTGTTGACACGGAGGCCCATTATGCCACGGCGCAGCTGTGTGAACGTGAATGACAATCCCGCTAATTGGAGGCATGCGGCATTAAATTTTATAGCATAAGCTGCCATAGCTATAAAGTTCCACCTGAGCCAAACTAAACACATTGTTAGGGAACCAAACAAATGCCTTGTGACCAAACGGAAGGAGTGGATAAGTTAAACATCTATATTGTGGGAATTTTAAAACATATCTATTGGAACATGAGGGGTGAAGCATGTCCGTTTGCAGGCGTGATGTCAAGCACATAGCCAGGAAGAACACAAAGAGACAAATGGGGCTGCATAAAATCTGAAAATCTTTGTATATCAAAGCTCACAACTGCCAGAGTGGAAGATCAACCCGTAGAATGGGAGAAAATAATACAAATCATGCATTTGGTGAGGGATTATTATCTATAATATATAGGATATATATTATATAACATTAGGAACTCCTGTAACTCAACAGAGGAAACCTGGTTGAAATAATAGACAAAGTGGATTGGCTGCTCAGGTGGGCTGGTAAGAGGGCTCAGCTCATGAGAGGGCTTGCTGCAGAGGATTGGGTTCCCAGCACCCACATGAAGAAGCTGGATTCAGCTGTGTGCATCTGAATTCCCAACATTCTTACATGAGATGGGGTAGAGACAGAAGGGTGGCCCAGAAGCTCATGGGCCAGCTAGCCTTGTATATGGCAGAAACAAAAAGAGAGACCCTGCCTCAACACAAGGTGGACAGGGAGAGCCAGCTCCTGCAGATAGTTCTCCAGCCTCCACACATGCGCTGTGGCACTCCGGTGCCCCCGCCCTGTCCCACTCCTAATAAAAAGAAAGGGTTTGCCATTTCTCCGGACATACAACTAGCCATCACACATGTGAAAAATGCTCATAGTCACTCACCCTCAATGAAATGGGAGGGAAACCTCCAGCGAGTTACTGCTGCACACCTATTACTCCTGTGAGGATGTGGGGAAACTCTAGGTTTGTGCACTGTTTGTAGACTATAAAGTGGTATCATTGCTGTGGAAACTAGAGTTTCCTAAAAACAAACAAACAAACAAACAAACACCCATTGCATTATCCAGAAGATCCATAGCTGGAATTTTCCCCTAAAGAATTAAAACAAAGCTTTTAAGAGCAAATTCTGCACTCGTGTTCATGGCTGCGGTTCCCACCACAGCTAAAATACAAGTCGTGCAAACAGCCTTTGTCCCAAATAGTATCCATCCAGGTGGTAGCACTCCCCCAGGTCATGGTGAGGCCTTACACTCAAACGTATCTCAGCATCACAGAATGAATAAACAGTTAAAAAACAAATCAAATGTAAGGAGAAAAACACATGGTACACGCCTACAGCAGAATCCGTTCTAGTTCTCCAGAGGAAGGGAAGCTCACTTATGCTACCACGTGGGTGAATCTTGAGACGGTTGCACCAAGTAAGTGAGCCACGGTGCTGTAAGTGTTCCACCCACGCCAAACCGACTCTGAGCCATAGGAACAGAATGGTATTTGCAGGAGATGGAGTGAGGGGTAAAGGCCTTGTTCATGGGCGGTTTTCGCACGAGGAAAACACCCTTGAGCTTCTTTTGCCATAATCAATTTACTCGACATTGCTGAACTTAGTTAAAAGTGGTTAGGTGGTAAATTTTATAATTTTTTTTAACTACAATAAAACCGTGAATGAGATTATATATTTTAAATGTATTAGCCATTACTATTTTTCTGAACTTTCTAAATAATATATGTAAATAAGTACCTTTTAAACACACATAGAATAACTTAAGAGGTTATGAAAAATAAGTGGTATGTGAACTCTGCTGAACATGCATGGCTTTCTGAAGATGAGTGACATGTAGTGGTTGTGCATTAGATGTGTAGTGGCTGTGCGTCAGGCATGTAGCTGTGTGTCAGGCATGTAACTGTGCATCAGACATCTAACTGCGCATCAGATATCTAACTGTGCATCAGACATGTAACTGTGTGTGTCAGACATCTAACTGTGCATCAGACATGTAGCTGTGCACCAGACACGTCACGAGTGCTGGTGTTTGCTGGATATGCATATTTCTTTTCCTCCCTTGCTAACGTTTCATGGCAGCGTGAAAAGACACTGCAGGGGCGATAGCATATTGAGATTGTTCTAACAGAATCCAGGGGATTCCTTTTCTTCATGGTGAAGCTTCTTTGTGTGTGGGTGCGGGGAGGTCAGTTGGGGAAGGCAGGGGATGAACACGCGCATATGTTTATGTGTGTGTGTCTACGTCTGAGGGCACTTTTGTGTAGGCCAGAGGTTGACACTGAGTGTCTTCCTCAGGAGCTTTTCACCTTAGGTTTTGATTCTGGGTCTCTCATTGAACCCGGGGTTTAACCATTTCAGCTAGACTGGTTGGGATTATAGGGCCACACTGCTACACCTGGCTGTTGACATGAGAGAGCTGGGGATTGAACTCAGGTCCTCATGCTTGTGTGGTGAGCTCTTCACCTACTAGACCTTCTCCCTGATCCTGGAGCTGTTTTGTTAGTTTCCTGGGTATGGAGAAATAAAACCCATTGCCTTTCCAGGCTACTGAATGAAGTAAATGTGGGTCTTAGAGGCAGGGAAGCCTGGGGAGTCTGTTCAGGCACCTTAGAGTGAGACATTCATGGGTTACTTTCTCTCTCTCTCTCTCTCTCTCTCTCTCTCTCTCTCTCTTTTATGATATTTATTGAGCTCTACATTTTTCTCTGCTCCCCTCCCTGCCTTTCCCCCTCCCCCTTCAATCCTCCCCCAAGGTCCCATGCTCCCAATTTACTCAGTAGATCTTGCCTTTTTACACTTTCTACTTTCTTGGGTTATTTTAATTGGAAGTCATCCCCCCCCCCCCCGATTTGTTCATTGGCATAATCTTTTCTTGAAATGGTGTGGAAGGAAAGCTCTTCAAGAGCAGGAAGTAAGATTCATATTTCCTCTTGTCTTTTTTTTACTACTTCCTCCTAAGAAGGTAAACATGATGAATTTGACTAATTTAAAAGTAAATTGGGCACCGAAAATGTGGTTCTGTGGCTCTGAGCATTTGCTGCTCTTGCAGAGGACCCAGGCTTGGTTCCCAGCCCTCACATGATGGCTCACAAACATCTGTAACTCCAGTTCCAGGGATTTGGCACCCTCTTCTGCTCTCCGCAGGCAACAGACACACCCATGGTACACATAGACACACATAAAATAAATAAATATCTTTAAAAAGTAAATTGCGGGTTGTTGCTATGGCACATGGGGGCATTTTGAAGATTTAATACTGAGGTCAAATACAAGGCTTCACATCTGTCCTTAAGACTTTACCCTGAAAAGTAATGAATTTGGGAAGACCTGAACGGTTGGGTGCCAAAAATAAGTGCTATTTCTTCGTGGAAAAATCATGGATAGCTGTATTAGTTGACCTTCACTGCTGTGACTAAATGCCTGAGGAAATAAAAGGCAAAACCACGTGGCTCTGGCACCATGGATTTGAGGTCTCTTACCATGGATTCAAACAGAATTCCTATGGTTTTGATGGTCAAAGTGGTTTTTTTTTTTTTTTTTAATGTTGGGCTCATTTAATAATCCTCACTTTTCTTTCTTTTCAGGTTACTGTGGACTTTATGAAGCCATCGAAAGTTGGGATTTCCAAAAACTTGAAAAGTTAGAGGAACACAGATTACTTTTACAGCGTTTACAGCCAGAATTTAAGACCAGAATCAACCCAACAGATATCCTTCCTGAATTGTCTGAATGCTTGATTAATCAGGAATGTGAAGAAATCAAACAGGTAAATTAATGCAAAGGACCAAGTTTAGAAAAAAATGCTGAGACTCGTGGAAATGGTTCTGTCTTGTTTTAGGCCCTCAAAGGATAATTGAAACCCATAAAAGACCTCAACTAGAAGATGGAATGACTAGAAAAGAATTTTTAACATGAATGGGGTCATTTTTCTATTTGAAGTTTAGCCTGTTCTCAGTTAAAGTTGCCTTGTTACTCTTTCTCCCAATAGTGTTTTATGCACACACAAATCACACTGAACAGTACAATGAATGAAAAGAAGAGATGGTGGGCTCTTGGTCATAGATACATTTATTATAATCGTCTCTCAGTCAGTAGTGAGGCAATCCTGGGCAATTCCTTTAGCATCTGGTTTTTTTCATGTCTAAAGTAAGAAAAATGTACCTTAACTACATGCTGGTTAGATTAAAGGAGGTAACGCACATACAATGCTTATGTCAGCTTGATGCATAATAACATATACACAGTACATTTTAGTTGTCATTAGACATAAAAGTCATAGAATACCTACTCTGTAAAATATTTATTGTTGTGCGGTTGGAGCCTTTCAAATAGCTCTGTGTGCTGATATAATCTTTGTGTGAATGGCTGTCATACGGGTTAGCTTTTTTGCCCTGGGATTGCTGGTGGTAATGGATGTCAGGATACAGAAGATGAGAACATTTGGCTTGATCTATTGATATCATATACAAAGGACAAAGGTGAAGGAAAGAATATCTTAAAAACTTATACTGGGTGGGGCAAAATGATGTGAACTAAGGCCTACTGAACTGTCCTTCATGGTGATTTTGGTCAAATGCTACCTGAGTAGATATTTCTTCAGCAAAGACAGAACTAACTGATCCATGGTGTGCTGCATTTGTCTCGCTCAGATCTGCTTCACCAAAGGGATGATGGCAGGTGCGGAGAAGATGGTTGAATGTCTTCTCAGATCGGATAAGGAGAACTGGCCCAAGGTTTTGAAATTGGCTTTGGAGAAAGAAAACAGCACGTTCAGTGAACTGTGGATTGTTGAAGGTGGGGCGCTTCAGGAAAGAGCCTTGGACCATACCGTGCCCCTCACCGTCCTCACTAGGACTTGCCACATTCTATCAGAATTTACTTTTTCTGAGAGACACTGCTCTCTTCAGATACCCAAGGCTACATCTCTAGGTTATGAACATCGGGAGGCTGAGTTCTGGGAGGGAATTAGCTCGCTAGCCCAAAGATTCTGGGGAAGGAAAAATAAGGGTTTCCAGCACAAATTTATCAGAGAAATAACTTGAAAATTCTAGACCTAATGTTTCAAATTGCAAGACTTATCTCCCTACCAGAGTAGAGGCTGAATATTAAGGACGATAGATAGTGATTGGTTCTCTTGCCTGGAAGCCATTCAGAACCAGCAGAGCAGGAGTGGATGAAGAATTTGCTGTATTTAAGGCAGTCTTATATGGCTTCTGGAAACTCACTCTTTGAATCGGAGTTTGATAAAAACCCAAGTTTTTAGTTTTATTTTCAGCATAAATTCTTGTAGGAACTGTCTGTGTCTTTGGCGATGGATTAGCCAGAGACGAAAGCCATGAGTGTCTCCTTCGTGTGCCCAGGAATGAATCTCTTGACACGAGCTGCCGAGTTGGGAGGGCTTCACCGTGCCTACTGCTCCTAAGCGGCACGGTCCACACTTGGAGTCATGTGGTTCTAAAGGACACTGGCATTCAAACACCAAACTGAGCTGCAAACTCGAAATGATTCTCCCTGTTGCTTTAAGAAATAAAAGGGACCCATGAGATGGTTCAGCAGAGAGAAGCTCCCTCCTGTCACTGAGCCGGAAGACCTGAGTTCCGCTTCTAGGACCTACAGGATAGAGAGGACTAATTCCCAAAAGTTATCCTCCACCTTCCACATACTCCCTGTGCCCTGAGGGACACACACAATTAATTCATTAATAAACTGAAGAATTAAAAATAAATAAATAAATTGTTAAGAAAGTGAAAGGGCATGGCTGTAAAAGCTCAATGGAAATTTAGGTTTTTAGTGTTAGGACTTTTTGGAGCTTTCACAACCAAAACCATAGTCAGATTACATTAAGACTCTAAGCTTTTTTTTTTTTTCAATCTCACAAAGGTTTCAAAATGGTTGAAAGTAAAGCTGTTGAAGACGATGACACGGAGACGTCCAGCATACAGATTTTCATACAAGAGGAGCCAGAATGCCAGGTTCTCAGTCAGAATCCCTGCACTCCTTCAGGTACCCGGGCATCGTTTGTTCTCAGAATCCCTGCCCACCTTCCAGTACCAGGCATCGTTTGTTCTCAGAATCCCTGCCCACCTTCTGGTACCGGGCATCGTTTGTTCTCAGAATCCCTGCCCACCTTCAGGTACCAGGCATCGTTTGTTTTCAGAATCCCTGCCCACCTTCCAGTACCAAGCATCGTTTGTTCTCAGAATCCCTGCCCACCTTCAGGTACCGGGCATCATTTGTTCTCAGAATCCCTGCCCACCGTCAGGTACCGGGCATCATTTGTTCTCAGAATCCCTGCCCACCTTCTGGTACCGGGCATCGTTTGTTCTCAGAATCCCTGCCCACCTTCAGGTACCGGGCATCGTTTGTTCTCAGAATCCCTGCCCACCTTCCAGTACCAGGCATCGTTTGTTCTCAGAATCCCTGCCCACCGTCAGGTACCGGGCATCATTTGTTCTCAGAATCCCTGCCCACCGTCAGGTACCGGGCATCATTTGTTCTTTTCCATAATGGGCTTTCTGCAGCATGTGATGCTTTTTGAAAATCCTTTTATTTATTTATTTTTTAAAGGATGATTAGGAAAGGAAAGGGAATTTGTGTGGCAATAGTGACTTCATAATCAGAACCACTGTTTCTGTCTTTCGTGGCCTCTGCTGATCTTATCTGCCTTCTGCCCCTGAGAGTGTATGTCCAGTGTGTGTCCTCTGATGACTATGGTGATCCCAGAACTTCTGTGTCTGTGACATCCCAAAGCAGCCTTGTGCTCTACAACAATACCTCTGTTTATGAGCCACTTGCTCAGTGGCCTGCCCGGATCTCAGGGCTGCCTGTGGATGAGCAGGCTGTGTGCCCTCTGTTTTCCGGCATCTGTGTGGAGGGATCAAATCAACTCGTTCTCATACACATGGTGCTGTGAAAGTTGCCTATGGCTGGATAAGGCCTCTAATGCTCCCTGAAATATGTGTTCATCGTAAAGAGACCAGAAGGTTGTAAGACATACCAAAGCATATTTGTAACAAAATGTATCAGGAAGGCAATAAGATGAATAATGAATAGTGTTGAAAGAACATTATCATTTTTTAGAACAATATAAAAAAGATACTGTACACATGGAATCAGCACCTGAATGAAACAAGGCTTATGTCCTGCCAGAGTGATACAGTATGGGTTGTTTTAAATGTTTCAGACATACAATGATCCATACGTGTCTTAAGCAACGCGGATTTTCTCAACCTTCTAAAAGAGTCTCATTCACTCTTTTCTTTTTATCCCCCTCCTGAGACAGGGTTTCTCTGTGAAATAGTCCTGCTGTCCTGGAACTCACATAAGTCCAGGCTGGCTTTGAACTCACAGAGATCCACCTGCCTCTACCTCCCGAATGCTGGGATTAAAGGTGTGAGCCACCACCACCTGGCGAAAGTCTCTTTCTTTACAGTGGGAAGATTTTAGACACATGAGGCAGTTTAAGGCTTTTCTGTCTCTTGACATTTTGTATGCTGACCTGTTCCTGAGATAAAGCCTCCGATCATTAAACCTCCCGGTTGTGCTGACCCATCTGGGGCCTGGAGGAACATACAGCATGGTTTCTCCTTGCTAACATTGCTTTGAGAACCTGATGCCAACAGCCTGGTTCTTCTCAGCTGTCTTTGGGGGTCTGTTGTTTCTTTGTTCCGAGTAACTTTGCTTTGAATTAGACCATTCTTGCTTTCTTTTTTTAATTAAGCTTCCATGCTTTAGAAAGAATCCACTTTGGCCTTTCTTGATAACTTGTTATTGATACTTTACCACTGAGAGACAGGTGTATGTGTCAAATCAACGGGGGAAGTGGGCCAGTTATTAAGAGGCTGGATTCCAAACCTCCTAAATGGGGCCCTTGTTGCTAGAGTCCAAACTCACGTCCACTGAACGACAGATAGAACACTGGCTGTTTGGTAACTTTATTCCTTCTATGTTGTAGAAGCATTTTCTAATAATTTTAATGGCCCGTTGAAACCAAGAAATTACCAACTAGAGCTTGCTCTGCCTGCCGAGAAAGGGAAAAATACAATAATATGCGCTCCTACTGGTGAGTCGGTTGTGGTAACTTATGCAATTTTCTCTTTGCTTTTTCTTTTATTTTTGGGTGCTGTGATAAAATGAAGAAGTTCAAGTTTTCCCCTGTTGCATTTACCATTGTGAAAGCTGACCTATTTACACAATGTATCTTTTCTAAAGAACATGGACAAAGCAAGGGAAATGCCTTCTTAGTTTACTTCCGGTTCTTGCTGTTTGAGTTGATGTTACCTAGGAAGTAGCTTGATAGTTTTCAGCCATCGTTTAAACTGCTGCTGTCCCTGCAGATGGCTGATTGTTGCGGAAGTTGCTTGTGCGTTCCTGGCTGCCTAGACCACGAAATAATCACACAGAAACTATATTATTTAAACCACGGTTTGGCTAATCACTTAAACGTATTGCCAGCTAGCTCTTACCTATTTCTATTAATCTGTGTATCGCCACGTGGCTGTGGCGATATACACGGCTTCTCGCAACTCCACTTTCTTTCTCCCAGCATTCAGTTTAGTGTCCCCTCCACCCCCAGCTCTTCTCTGTCCTATCACAGGCCAAGGCAGCTTCTTTACTCATTAACCAATAAGAGCAACACATATACAGAAGGGTTTCCCACACCAACTGATTTGTTTATCTGTCCCAATGGTGATAGAGAAGTGAAAAATAAAGACATTCTAGAGAAGCGTCTAACGTTGGTTTTGTTTCCTTTTCCTTCCATACCAAAAGGTTGTGGGAAAACCTTTGTGTCACTTCTTATATGTGAGCATCATCTGAAAACATCGCCACATGGAGGAAAAGGGAAAGTAGTCTTTTTTGCTAATCAAATTCCTGTGTATGAACAGCAGGCAACTGTGTTCTCACGCTATTTTGAAAGACTTGGGTATGTATTACAATCAGTTTAACTGTGTTTTTTTCTTTTTTTTAAATTCTAGCTTCATGCTATAAATTTGCTTTGTTTCATTTGGTTTTTTTGTTTGTTTGTTTGCTTGCTTGCTTTTTTTGTTCTTTTCTGAGACAGGGTTTCATGTAGCCAGAGCTGTCTTCCAACTCACTATGTAGCTGAGGTTGGCCTAGAAGATAGGATCTTCTTGTGTCTACCTTCTGAGTGCTGGGGTCACAGTGTCACGGTGTGCACTGACATGCCTAGTTCTTCTGTGTTTTTTCTTAAATAATTTATGTATTTTATTTTACATGGATCGGTGTTTTGCCCATCAGTATGTCTGTGTGAGAATGTTGGATCCCCTGGAACTGGAGTTACAGACAGTTGTGAGTTGCCATGTGGGTGCTGGGAATTGAACCCAGGTCCTCTGGGAAGAGTGGCCAGTGCTCTTGGTCATTGAGCCATCTCTCCAGCCCCTGTTCTGTTTTTTTTTTTAAAGATATGATTTGGAGAAAATTACCATAGACTTAGGTTTTAGAGGTAACTCCTTTGTGGAATAATATTTTTCGTTCAGCTCCAGCAGAAGGGCTAAGCGCTCCTGGGTTACCCTGCAAAGGGAATGACCTTGAGGCCAAGGTTAATATTTAGATGATACAGCAGTCATTCTTAATGATTTTATACGTCATTTGACATTCCTCTTTGAAGAATTTTTCATCTCCTAATGACTTGAAAGAATAAGTATACTGAGGTCAGTTATAACCAACTTGCTTTTCCTGATTGCTGGCTTTTTGTCAGGTTTGAGTGTTATCTTAGACTACTCCCCGGTTGTATTCTTTCGGGTTTAGGGGGAGCTTCATTAATGGTTGCTCGGATCTGGCGTCTCACCTTTGTTTCCTTGTTCACATCGCAGTTGGTAATAAGGGATTTCTGTTATTTCCCAGGTACAGCGTAGCGGGCGTTTCCGGGGCAACGACTGATAATGTCTCAATGCAGGACATTATCGAGAACAAAGACATCATCATCCTCACGCCCCAGATTCTTGTGAACAGTCTCAACGATGGAACCATCCCCTCGCTGTCTGTCTTCACCCTGATGATCTTTGACGAATGCCATAACACCAGTAAACACCACCCGTACAATCAGATCATGTTCCGATACCTAGATCACAAACTCGGAGGGTCGCCAGGCCCACTGCCTCAGGTAGTTCCAGTCAGGTGACGTCTCGGAGCAGCCCTAATCATCCAGAATCCCACTTAGTTACTCTTGTAGCCACATTTGAGGTCATCCTCCTCACGTTCTAGGTCTATCAGTTAGCAATGCATTGTTTAGTTTTGATTCATTCATTTAACAAACAGTTGTCCTTGGTATCTAGGGTGGAAACCCTTCACAGAAACCAAATCAAGGCTGCTTAAGTCTCTTGTCTGAGATGACATTGCATTTATATATAATTTACACATTTTCCTCATGCATACTTTAAATCATCTCTAGATTACTAATATTGTATAGTATAATGTAAATTTTATATCAATAGTTCTTGTATTGCTTAGGGAATGAAGGTGGGAAAATTTATACGTGTTTAGTACTTGGGAAGTTAAAAAATATTTTTGATCCATAATTGTGTGAATTCACAGATGTATGACATCTGGATTTGAGGGCCAACTGTGTGAATCATGGGCTTCCATGTACCTTGGGCATTGTTTTAGGCCCTGGGGACACTGCTACAGAAGATAGAATGCTAGCTCTCATGCAGTTAAGTCTGCACAGGGAGCCAGCCACATAGGAGTTATATCACAGCTCATCATGAGGTTTGCTGCTGAGCTGGGGAAAGGGTGTAGTCAGGATGCAAATAAAGGCAAGGCAAGACCTAGTAGAGAAGTGGGGAGCTAAGAGGAGTTTTCCAGGAAGATAGCTTCATGATTTTTCAGTACGAGGGTTCTGTGTGTCCAGAGCCTGACATGCTCCAGAATCCTAGAACCCTATCATGTCACTTGAGTGTGAGGTAAGAAACAGCAGCGGATGAGGCAGAACAGGAAAAGGGGGACAACTGGTGAAGCTGATGGTTGTGGCAGATGCCCCTGGAGACATCTATCTGGAGGGTAGAGCATCCGTGGGCGGGTCTATGGCTTAACCCAGGAAAGGAGCAGCACCCGGTCCCATGTCACATGACAACGATCACTCCAGAGAGTCATTATTAGGCAGGACAGGAAGGAAGGGAGGCTGGTGCATAAATTCTCCTTCTTCTCCATCCGAGGAGAGGCAGGTGCTTTCCTAAAAATCATCAGTGTAGAAATGGGAGAGGGAGTCGGAGGGGCAGGAAGATCTGAAACCCTGGATGAGAACCGAGATGGGTACAATAAAGAGTCATGGTATGATATCAGGGGCCTGAACGAGGCTGCGAAACACGAATTGTATGCAGTTCTTTCGCTCCAGTAATTGCCCATTTCGAGTGTGCAGGTTGAAGGACATTTAGTGTGGTACCCACAGCTTGTTCTTTTCAAGTAATGTTGGCGGTAAACAGATGCCTGACCGGTGAGTTAACCATGCAGTAATGTCGAGCGCTGGCTGAAGGACAGCGTCTCACTGGATCTACACAGCGCTCGTTTTCAATGGCCACTTCCCCTTCACTGAGTGTTGATGGCACTTGATAAAGCACACAAAACGAATGGGCCGTGTGTGTGGCTGGAACGGACATGCCATTCCCTTTCATTCCCGTTGTGATGTTTTCCTCCTCAGTAGGAGACACGGGGAGAAAGGAAAGAGTAGCCCTGCCTGGAGAAGGCTTCCTCTCCTCTCTTACTCTCCTTAGTGTCTGGATGATAAGCTTCGATTAGTGCTTCACTTTGGAGGCCCTTCTGCTCACAACATCCTGGAGAATGTCCGAGAGCCACTGATGGGGATGCTCCTTACAGGTCATCGGACTGACTGCCTCAGTGGGTGTTGGAGATGCCAAAACTGTAGAGGAAGCCATGCTGCATATCTGCAAACTCTGCGCCGCCCTTGACACGTCCGTGATCGCCACGGTCAGAGACAACTTGGAGGAACTGGAGCAGTTTGTTTATAAACCCCAGAAATGTAAGTGGGGCTCAGAACACTCCCCTTGGGAATCTGTGACTCTGCTCCTCCTCCTTCAGAGACAGTGGATGAACTCTGATGTTGTATTTTTTGGGCAGAGGCATTTTTAACCCCACACTTTAGGAATAAGCGTGTTTCCTCTCTTTCTCCCTTATCGACCTCTCCTCCTGAGTCTCAAAAGTAGCCTGAAAGGGACAAGCATCCCTGCTCTTTGTCTCCAAAACCCTAACACAAGCACCAGCCAGAGAGTGAAGGGGGTAGTGAGAAAATTTAATTGTATTGATAGCCAGCGGCTGGGTCAGACCTCTGTGCTCCATGCCCTAACTAAATACGACGGGGTCATCTTGCTCCTGTATGTATCTGATAATTGTAGTTAAAATGATCTAAATCATAATAGCTCTCACCAAAAGGCCAGGGCAGGTTTTAAAAAATGAGATTCACTTGCAGATTATTAGTGATTAACTAGCCACGCAAGCAGGGAGGGGCAGTAGTTACATAAGGCTTCATGTTAGCCTGTAGTGGAATGGGAGGGCCCAGCTCTGTTTATTTCTAAGTGTCCCCCATGGGAGACTGTGAAGAAGGTGCCTCCCACCCCACCCATGTTTGAGCCCTTGGTGTAGCACGAATAATAAAACCCAGAGACAGATATTGGGGTTCAACCTGATGATCAGAAAAGCAAAGCAATCAAGCCACTAGAGAGGTCTTACTGCTAAGATGTCCTTAAAGAGAGAGCAAGTTCCCATCTCATCCCACTTTTCTATCCCTCTCTAGTGTTGGGTTAAAGGCATGCGCCACCACCTGGGTCTTTGCTGCACCGCGTAGCCCAGGGTGGCCTTGAACTCACAGAGATCCGCCTGCATCTGCCTCCCAAATCCTGGGATTAAAGATGTGTGCCACCTCTGCCTGGCCTCTATCATCATAGCTTTACCTTTTGGTCTTTAGGCAAGCTTTATTCATACGGCATAAATAAAATATCACTCTGCCTTTGAACTTCATCTGCTTCCAAGTCTTGCAAAGGCTGTGTTGCTTTTCCTGACTCTGCAAACTCTCCACGTGTTATCCTGAGCCCGTGTCCCAGCTGTGCCCGCTGCATGGCTGCTCCTGTTCCTGCCTTTTTCCTTCCTTTGCTAATTTTATGGCAGCCTCCCCAGGGAGACTGACTTGCCTTCCGCTGGCTCCCTGGTGCCTTGCCTGCACCTGTACTGCAGGACTCGGTTGGCTGGGTTTCAGAGCACGCCTTTCTTCCCTCCAAGAACCAGCCTTCCGTGTAGCAGTCCGTAGTTCTTGCCAGTCCTCTATTACCAGAGCATGGCATGTGACAGGCGATTCTTTTTCTGTTGGAAATACGCAAATGTGAATAGTAAGACCAATGAGAACACTCTCGGGAGGGGGCAGAAGGTGTAGAGAAGGCGAATAGGAAAGCAGGAAAATGGGGCTGGGGTGTGGTACCTGCAGAACCCCAAGGGCAGCAGCCAGACAGGCAGAGTAGAGGCTCCAGGAAAGCTAGGCTGAGAGGCTGGGTTACACCGAGGCAGTAGAGACGTTAGGCTCGGCACAGGAAGCAACGTGAGGCTATCTCAAGACTTTTGAGCATTTGCTGTGATTGGGCCACTTACCAGTGAGTGTGGAGCCTGTGGCTTTTCAGAGAATGTCACAAGGGCAGAGAAGGGTTTGGAAATGGCAGCATTTGACCTGTGCTTCTTTCAAACAAGTCGTGTTCCTTTGTCTCCAGTTTTCAGGAAGGTGGAATCACGGACTACCAACACATTTAAGTCCATCATATCTCAGCTGATGAAGGAAACAGAGGGACTGGCAAAGAATGTCTCCGAGGAACTCGGTAAGTCTGTGCTAACTCAAGGTGAGATACTCAGTCTTTCTGAACCCAATTCCTCTTTTTAAAATGAATTATTGACCTCTTGAAATAAGAAAAAAAATACAATTATAAACATAAAGCACTTTGATTTCGGGTCATTTAGTAAATAATCATTTTACTAAATCTCAGTCTTCAGGATAAATATCCTATTTATAATGGATAAGAAAGAAAATTAGAAGATGAGGCATGTTAGCACCAATGCTTGAAAACCATTTGTTTGCTTGTTTTGCCCTCTAGGAAAATTATTTCAGATTCAAAACAGAGAATTTGGCACGCAGAGATACGAGCAGTGGATCGTCGCCGTTCACAAAGCCTGCATGGTGTTTCAGATGCCGGACAAGGAGAAGGAGAGCAGCATTTGCAGAGCGCTCTTTCTGTACACGTCCCATTTGCGGGTGGGTTGCTGCTGTGAATGACCAGCTTCGGTCCCTGCCTCTCCTGGGACCTGCCCTGTGGCAGCTGAGAGAACATTAGCTTCTTATCCTAGCCGAATTAAAAACTCTCCAGGAAGCCATCCCCAACCTCATTTGTCTTCTAAAACTTAACGGCAAGTCTACAAGACTGGAAGAGAGGCTTAGAGTCTGTGTCGAGCCTCCAGCTTTGCCTTATTTTTGTGGTGGGAGAAAATTGGGTGATGCTAAACCCTACTGCTCTAGATTTGTGATTGGTAACCGCCATCTCTGAGTTCAAGACATGGCTCCTGTTGCCACATCCTGAAGCCTGTGTGGTCTTAGTTTGTTAAAGTCACATACTTAGAACACTCGGGGCTCTGGTTAACACAGAAGAAGGGACTAGCAGTACAACCGCCACTTTGTTGTTAACACGGTGAGAAATATTTGGAGACTTGGACCATAGCAGGTGTTCACGGAATTTTAAGGCTTAATGAACTTTCAGAGTTGGTGGTAAGGGCCTTCATTCTGAAAGGCCCATGGGTACTTAGCTATGACTTTGGAATTTAAGGGGAATGTCAGCACCACGATGCAGGAGGATGTCAAAGCTGATTTGCTTTTATTATTGTTTCTTATGACGCATTGCTATTCCTCTCCCAAGGTGGAATTTTACAATATGAAGTGAGTCTACTTAATTAATATTTCTAGCTCACTGAAACAAAAAAGGAAACCAGCTTTTGGTTCAGAGTTTTGTTATTGTTTTTTAATCATAGACCCACTAGGGGCTATTCACCTCTTAAATCTCAGCTGTGCAACATGAGAAAGATTTTCTTGAAACTGGTTTTGATCTCAGTACAGCCAGTTGAACGTCGGTGTAGTGGACGTGGGGAGTTGGAAGTGTACTGAGACTCACCTTTCCTTTGAAACAGAAATACAATGATGCTCTCATCATCAGTGAGCATGCCCAGATGAAAGATGCTCTTAATTACCTCAAAGCCTTCTTCCAAGATGTCAAAAATGCAGCATTTGATGAGACTGAGCAAGATCTTACGCGGAGGTTTGAAGGTGAGGGCGACTCGGAAGTCGTCGCTGGAGGCCGGTGACTTGATTGGCAGCGTGCACGTTATACTTAGCGTATATTTATTTGCTGATGCGGTTGTGCTGGGTTTAAGATGGGACATGATAGTGGCTATGATGGAGCATGACCTTAGCATGGCTGAAACCCCAGCACTACAAACAAAAGAAAGCAAAAATCTTAGAGTTAACCTAACGGGGAGAGGGGAGCACGGGAGGGTTTGGCTTCAGAAAAATCCAATACCTATAGGCACATCTGTTCCTTTTCCACCTTTAATTTGGGAGAAGGAAAAACAGTGGTATTTGAAAAGGATGCTTCCCACAGTTAATGAGTAATGGTATTCTGTCTAACTCAGTAATTTAAAAATGTTTAATGACACCAACATGTGTTCTAATGAGGTTAAGAAAACTATGCTTTATGGATATTTCTTTGTTTTTTTGAGTCAGGGTTTCTCTGTGTAGCCCTGGCAGTCCTAGAACTCGCTCTGTAGACCAGGCTGGCCTCGAACTCAGAGAGATCTGTCCATCTCTGTCTCCCAAGTGCTGGGATTAAAGGTGTGAACCACTACACCTGGCCTATGTATACTTTTAATAATGAGAAAATGTCCCTACTGCCCTTACATTATACTCCAAACATGGGAACATAGTAAATGGAACATTTCTATCAAGTAGCAATCACTACTTTTTTGGCTATATTAAATTATTTACTATACATATGTATTGCCAGTGATGTGCTGTGTTGATCAACGTAAGTCAGTTATCTGGGGGAAAGTGTATACATGAACTGCATATGTTTACTATAATTTTACTGATATGGGGGATAATGTCACACAGAACTTACAAATGACAAACACGAAATTCTTCATTGTAAAGAAGAGTTAGCCATTTGTGGCCCACGGGATGCTTTTGGTGGTCTTGGCAGGACCCTTGTATCCATAGCCAACCACAGACTGCAATCCCCAAACAGATGTAGTTCTGATATGGATGCCAGGTATGTTTTCTGTAGGAATAACAACTAGTAAGACAACAGAGACATGCTGGGGCCTCGCTGACTTCTCAGTGCAGTGAGCGGCTTCTCTTCTGAACCAGATAAAGCCTTTTGACTTGACTCATAAGTAACAGCTAAATTTAACCTGCATTATATACTTAGCGTTTTACAAAGTCTGGACTGCCAACAAAGGATGAAGCAACTGTTATCTTCATTTCCATGTGTAAGGGCTTCTACTATGCTCAGTTTCCCACCACCAATGTCTCATTGAACTTGTGTAAAACTGAACATACACACACACACACACACACACACACGCACACACACACACAGATACATACATACACAATAACTCAAGCACTAACTCATAGTAAAGTGTGATAAAATGAATTATGAAATTAAGGACCAGGGCTATTTGTTGTATTTGTCTTTAGTATAAGTCATTGAGCTGCAAGGATATAGAATTGAATTTTTAAGGTTATTTTTAAGAACTTAACAATGACTATCATAATCCGGTTTGATCTGACCCCAGTATACCATACATTTTTTTAAACGATAAGACATCCTGTGTTCCGGTTTTTAACTTAAAACATCCTTTTGAAAGCCCCCTTTAATCCCAACATTTGGGAGGCAGAGGTAGGCGGATCTCTGTGAGTTCGAGGCAAGTCTGGTCTACATAGCAAGTTCCAGGACCGACAGGGCTGCATAAAGAAACCCTGATTCAAAAAACAAACTAACAAATAAATAAAAAAAAACAAATAAAAATATGTATCTCTTTTGATCTTTCCACATCGGCAGGTTCATCAAGTTTTCCTTTTAACCTTGTATTTCCACCAGCTGGGTAGCCTAGGACCTGTGGAGCAGTGTCTCAGTGATTGGGTTATTTCCTGTATATCTTTCATAGTTTTGACAGTCTTGGTGACTGTCCTCGGAATCTTCTCCACAGCTTCCTAAACAGAACTCAAGTCAAATCCCTAAGCTGTTGGTTGTAGAATGTGTGAGCTTTGTATTGCTAAACTCCTTTCCTAAAGGGGTACACCAGTTGAAGTGAGTGGTTACGTCTCAGATTTCTGGCTAACAATGGAGAGGTTAGCCATTAGAAGTGGAAGGCCACAGTTCTAAAGCGTCTACATTCATAAGCCTTTTGCAAAATGCTCCCCATTTGCAGAAAAGCTGGAGGAACTAGAAGAAATTTCCAAGGATCCCAGCAACGAGAATCCTAAACTCAGAGACCTCTACCTGATCTTACAAGAAGAGTACCACCTAAAGCCGGAGACCAAAACCATTCTTTTTGTGAAAACCAGAGCACTTGTGGATGTAAGCCTTGTGTTTGTGTGTGTGTGTGTGTGTGTCTACTTTTAAGGACAAGGTTGCCCTTTCCTCACTACCCTGTAATCAAGTATCTACACCTGTGTGGGCCTGTTCTGATTGTTTATCTTTGCCTAAAACCTCCTTGTTTTATTTACCCAGTCATAAGACTTGGCACTATAGAGTAAAAACCTCATCTTTTTTTTTTAAAGATTTATTTGTTTATTATGTATACAACATTCTGCCTCCATGTATGCACACAGGCCAGAAGAGGGCGCTAGATCTCATTACAGATGGTTGTGAGCCACCATGTGGTTGCTGGGAATTGAACTCAGGACCTCTGGAAGAGCAGCCAGTGCTCTTAACCACTGAGCCATCTCTCCAGCCCCCAAACTCATCCTTTTTAAGACCTTCCCATTAAAATGTTCACGTCCAGCCATCCTGTAGGTTTTGACTTACATTTGATTAGTACCTAATATGCTTGGGCATCTTAAATGCTTTAGAAGTTTGTCTTGACATCATCTTTAAAATGCTTATTCAGATTTTACAACCAATGTCAAAGTCGAGGTTTTGGACTGGAGCTATAGCTCAGTGGTTGAGCACTCATCTAGCCTGCATGAGTAGTTTAGGCCCAGTTCTGGGAAACAATAGGTTGCTACCACATTGTTAAGTTTCTTAAGATTCTTTTTGTAGGATGACCAAAGAAAGTCCTCTGGGAGACAGGAGATTTGAAGTGTTTTCTGCTGACCCACAGCCTGCTTCTTAGTTCTTTCTTTTCTTTTCTTTTCTTTCCTTTTTTTTTAAGACAGGGTTTCTCTGTGTTGTCTCTCTCTGGCTGTTTAAGACTTGCTCTGTAGACCAAGTAGGCTTTGAGCTCAGAGACGCTCCTGCCTCTGCCTCCCGAGTGCTGGGATTAAAGGTGGGCACCACTACCTGACTTAGTTATCTTCATAGTGTCTCTGAACACTGAACATTTCTAGTCTGGTTTTTTTTTTTTTAATGCATGTGGGTGTTTTACCTGCATGTGTATCAGTATTTTGCATGCAGTACCCACAGAGACCAGAAAGGGGTATGATATTCTCTGGAACTGCAGTGAACCGACAGTTGTGAGCTGTCATTTAGGTGCTGGGAATTGAACCCGGGTCCTCTGGAAGAGCAGTCAGTGCTCTTAACCCCTGAGCCATCTCCGCAGTCCTCTTTGCTGTGTTTTATTAGTGTTTTGTCATTTTTGGTATAGAGGTCATGCATACGTTTTCTTAGAGCTGCACCTAAAGGATAGTTTTAGTGATGCAATTGAGAAATTATACTTTAAAATGTTTCACATTAAGCCGGGCGGTGGTGGCGCACGCCTTTAATCCCAGCACTCGGGAGGCAGAGGCAGGCGGATCTCTGTGAGTTCGAGGCCAGCCTGGTCTACAAGAGCTAGTTCCAGGACAGGAACCAAAAGCTACGGAGAAACCCTGTCTCAAAAAAATCCAAAAAAAAAAAAGTTTCACATTAGCCAGGCAGTGGTAGCACACACTTTTAATCTCAACACTCAAGAGGCAGAGGCAGGAGGATCTCTGTGAGTTTGAGGCCAGCCTGGTCTACAGAGCGAGTTTCGGGACAGCCAGAGCTACACAGAGAAACCCTGTCTTGAAAACAAAACAAAACAAAACAAATTCACATTGTGGGCTGGGAAGATAGCTCAGTGAGTGAAGCATTGGAAGTGTGGGATCAGGTGTGGGATCTGTGTGGATCAGCATCCACACAGAAGAGTTGAGCATGGCAGCGCACACTTGTGATCCCAGCGCTGGGGAGGAGAGATAAGCAGACCCTGGACTGGCTGGCCAGCTAGGTGAGCCCACTTGGCAATCCCCAGGGAGTTACTCAGTCTCAAAATGAACTAAGGTGGATGGCTCTTAAGGAACGACACCTGAGGTTGACCCAGTCCTTCATAGCGTGTGCACACACATACACACATGTGCACACCCCCAAGCATGATCAGCCATGTATACCCACACGTACCACACAGATTTTTCAAATTTCAGTTGTCTATTGCTGATATGTAACCATAATTGATTTAGACATATCGATCTTGCATCTCAAAGTCTTGCTAAATCCAGTTATTCTGTGTACCATTGTTCTGGACCTTGTCTTTTTAATCACGGCAAACATCTCACAAATTAAGCCACAATGAACCACAGAGGTCTAGACCACTAGAATTCATTGTTGTTTGGGACTTAGTCTGAAATCTATCTGCATGTTCAGCTTTATGATATATATATCATATATATATAGAGATAGAGAGAGAGTACTTTGTGTGTGTGTATATATACATATATTGTATATACATGCATATACACACAATATTGAAATAATTCAAGGTTTAATCTTTACAAATAGTATCCAACCGGTCATTGCTTCTCACTTTCAGGCTTTAAAGAAATGGATTGAAGAAAATCCTGCACTCAGCTTTCTAAAGCCTGGTATATTGACTGGACGTGGCAAAACAAACCAGGCAACAGGTATTTATGAATAGTGAAGTAGATTTAGTATAGTATGCGTTTAAAATGTATACCATGTTTCATTATTTTATGACATCTGATGGACTGTGTGCTTTTTTTTTCCAAGGTAAAAATAACTTTCCACTTTTAAATGGTTCCTAATTAGTGGCTGGTTTTCCAAGAGCGTAACTCTTTCACAAGTGAGTTGTACAATGACCTCTTTATCCAATGCAGGGATGACACTCCCAGCACAGAAGTGTGCGCTGGAAGCGTTCAGAGCCAGCGGGGATAACAACATCCTAATTGCTACCTCGGTGGCTGATGAAGGCATTGACATCGCTCAGTGCAACCTGGTCATCCTATACGAGTATGTGGGCAACGTCATCAAAATGATCCAAACCAGAGGTGAGGGCAGCTGACGTCATTACCACTCGGCTTCTGCTTTGTTTGGCATGTGGGTGCTTGTCCGTCCTTTTTTACTGAGCTGTCGTATGTGATTGAAGGCACACGTGACTCGGGTAATTTTAGGCTAAAAGTTGACTTCTCTGGTCAGGATTAGGTGGTTATAGTTTTACCCATAGTGCTCCATTGTGACACTTCACAATGGGACTGCCTAAGTGTGCATTCACTGGCACACTTATGAAAGTATGATAGCCACTTGGCCTGAGGCTTTGCCACTCAGCAAGCAGACCTTTCATGGTTGTGGTGAGTAGCTCCTTGTACTGCAGAGTCCTTTCGTCTCACCCGGACCAGGCTCTTCCCTCCTTTCCCTTGCTTCCCCAAGAAGAGCCCCACTTGCCCTTCTGAATAACATCTCTGTGTGTCGCTCCCTATTCCCATCCCCTTTTCATCCTTCTCTTCAGCTTATGAACCAGTTCAGCCAACCAGACTCCGCTACTGATGTCGAATTGCTCACATCCCACTTTTTTCGCATTTTATGTCCTTTTCCATCTCCATTGCACATAACCCAATTCTCTCGGCCAGAATAACCTCTCATTCAGATGCCCGTGACCCTTTCCATCTGTCTGTGCAACAGCGTTGCCAGTGTCTTTCCTGCATCCCAGGGCTTATAAACCTCTCTCGGCATTACAAAACGGTTCAGGTGGGCGTGCTCGTGGTGGCATCGCTGAGGACCCATCTAGATCATCTTGAAATCAGTGTTTCTGATAATCCGGCTGTGATCGCACCGCATCACTGGAGATCCCCAGAAAACGAGCTGCAGGTGGATCCTGGTTCATCTGTGTGTTTACCATGCAGACTGGAGCCCGCATTCTCGTGTGCTCCTCAGTCCAGCGCCCCTAGAAAGCAGGGTGCCGTGAATCGACAGTGAATTCTAGGAACACCTCTCACACTTTCGTGTCTGTTTCCACATCACGTCAGGGTTTTACATCGCAAGTACAAACCAAATGTTTTCTGACAGGCAGGGGAAGAGCAAGAGACAGCAAGTGCTTCCTCCTGACCAGCAATGCTGACGTCATCGAGAAAGAAAAGGTGAACATGTTCAAGGAAAAAATAATGAATGAATCCATTTCAATGCTTCAGACGTGGGATGAAATGAAATTTGAGAAAACGGTAAGTCTTTTTTTTTTCTGGGCTACTCTTGGAATCTGACCAGAAATAATAAATGAGCAGGGTTGGTGCTGAGTGTGTGTGTGGTGTGTGTGTGCATACATAGTGTGTGAGTGTGTGTGTGGTGTGTGTGTGCATACATAGTGTGTGAGTATGTGTGTGGTGTATGTGTGCATATGTAGGGTGTGTGCGTGTGAGTCTGTGTGAGTGTGCATGCGCGTGTATGGTGTGTGAGCACGTGCATAGTGTGTATGAGTGTATGTGTGTGTGTGGTGTGAGTCTGTGTGAGTGTACCTGTGCGTGTATGGTGTGTGAGTGCATACATAGTGTGTGGTGTGTGTTTATGTGCATGCAAGTGTATGGTGTGTGTGAGTGTGTGTGTCGTATGGTGTGTGTCTGTGTGAGTGTGTGAGTATAGTGTGTGTATGGTATGTGTGTGTGAGTGTGTGTGTATGGTATGTGTATGGTGTGTGTGAGTCTGTGAGTATGCATGTGTGTATGCATGTGTATGTGTGTGTAGTGTGTCTATGAGTGTATGTGTGGTGTGTGTGAGTGTGTATGTGCATGGTGTGTGTCTGTTATTTTTTTAAAAGGTTGCCAAGTAGTTCAGGCTGGCTCTCAACTTGAACTGGCTATGAAGCCGAGGGTGATTTTGAACTTTACATCCTCCTGTTTCTACCTCTCAGTTGTTGGAATTAGAGATAAAAGGGAGTGATCAAGTCTATGGGATGTGAAAGGGAGCCATATGGAGGTTGGGGGGGGACCAGCTAGAGATGAGGGGCAACTCAGTGTGGGGAGGTGGCAATAAGAACTGAACGGCACGACAGCTCTGTGTGAAAGTGCCATAAAAGAAAAACAATAAGGCTGGGTGGTGGTGGCGCACACCTTTAATCCCAGCATTTGGAAGGCAGAGGAAGGTGAATCCCTGTGAGTTCGAGGCCAGCCTGGTCTACAAGAGCTAGTTCCAGGACAGCTAAGACTGTTACACAGGGAAACCCTGTCTCGAAAAACCAAAAGAGAAAAGAAAAGAAAAACAAAAAGATGTGATTCTGGGGTGAGAACCTCTTTTGTGGTTTTAATGAGGGCTTGGGGCCTGGATTTGAACTTGGAAATTGGCTTGAGTCACAGTTTGCTACGAGGCTGTGTGTTGCGTGGTGCAATAAGACCTCTGTGCCCCCAAGAATCCTCTGGTTACCATGTTGCGCACAACGTGTGCAGTCCAGGGAAGCCAAGAACTCATGTCTATAATAGAAGGTTCAGGACATGATGGTAACTCAGGTACTTCACAGTGTGGAGATTATTAGGCTGTTCTGGTTATAACTGCACAAAGTGTAATCTGAAATCTAAATGAAGAAGCCTGTGTTCCCTTCCTCATGGAGCCAAGCTCGGACATGAATGTTCCTTTTGAAGGAAGGACTTCCAGCACAATTTACATACTCACAACTGCTGCAGGGGCTTCTTCACTTTAGGGGATGATGGCTCATGCTAACCCTACCAGGTGAGAATAAGAACACGACTATAATTTTTGAGCTAAATTTGAAGCAAGCTTTATTAAATACTGGCCAGGACGGTGGACACTGGCCAGGTCCATACCCAGGATCTCCAGATAATTGGCTGCGAATTACATTAGTCAGAATGTAATAAGGAAGGCGATGCCCTTCCTGCCTTCGTACAAGGGGGGCAAGCACACATCCTGACACACTTCCTGCCTATGTACCGCCCTAGGTGTGATCAAGCACATCTTGTGCGTTTGAGGCAACCAGGCTTGTTTCACCAGAAGTGAAAACACACGGCTTGTTGTCTAACCTGATCAAAGGCCTCCAGCATTCCAAGTTATCAGTCCTTGGGCAAGCAGGGCTTAGGTTAGAGGGGGTTCTGTTTTGTAGCTCTCTTAAGCACACTCATTTAAATTTAAAATACAACTTTAGCCCGCACGCTCAGTGGAGAAGGGTGCTTGATTGATGGCCTGAGTTTGATCCCTGGAACCTACAGTATAGAAGGAAGAAACCGACTTTGCCTGTGTGTGGAGTTCTTTTCAACCACAGGTGTGGGGTTGGGTGGGGCAGTGCCGTGGTGGTGTCTCCACCAGTTGCTGCTGTTTGCCTTAAAGTTGTAACTATGGTAGTAGCAGCTTTAACTCATTAGACTTTAGAACAATTACCAACAGTGCATTTAAGATGAAGGGCCCAACCCCTCACCAGTACTGCTCCCCCCCCCCTCAAGATTTGGCAGCCACGATAGACTGCAGAAAAACCCAGCAATATGGAGGCCCCTGACTCAGCAGGATGTACTGAGCCCCCAAACTCGCCCGCCCGAACTGGCCCGACTTTGCCCTGATTACTGGGAAGAAACTGCCAGGTATCCTCCATGTGGTAAGGAACCAATCAGAAGTTAGCGGGCTCTGCCTGTGCTTTACTGATAATCATGGACTGCAGTACGTTGGACCCCAGTGGCCTCCAGGTATAGCAACCTTTCTACAGCTGCAGCTGACCAACCAGCTCAGGACAGGTTCCACCAGCCCGGAGGTGCACCAATCCTGAGACTGTTCCTATGCAACTTGAAGATCCCTGCCCCACAGCAGCTCGGGGTCTCTCTACTGGACCTGCTGTGTCAGACAGATGGACAGAGACCCCGAGTTAACTCATAATTAAAAAAACTCTTTGCTTTGGCGTCCGATCTGGTCTAATGGTGGTTTTGGCGTCAAGACTCTGGGCACAACAAAGATACTTGAGATGACTAGTATTTTAATTGAATTTTAGTGTGTGATTTTAAAAAGCCATTGCACGTAAGTGAATGAAAGACAATTGGATATCTAAGGTGCTCCCCACCAGGCGGTTTTGATGGACGAGAGTGCTAATTCTTTTAGCATTTGAGAAATAACTGTTTCTCTTCCTTCTGGCTTGTGTGGCTTCTGAGAACTGCCTGCTGTCATTTCTTTTGTAGAGATAGTAGCTTTGTTTTTCTTTTTCCTTTTTTTCTTTTTCTTATTTTTTTTCCTGCTGCTGAGATTTTGTGTTTCCAGAAGTTTTATTATGTGTGCCTTGGAGTGATCATCTTTGCGGCATGGTTGGCTTTGTGAATCTAAGATCCTACTGCTCTCCATATTTCATAATTGTTTAGCCATAATTACTCTGACTTTCCAGATCCTGTCCCTTCATTTCTGGACTCTAATGACATTAGATGTTAGATGTAAAAAATTCTTCAGTAGTCATACATGTCCCAAAGAGTCTGGTTTTTTTTATTTGTTTCGGTTTTTTAGTCTGTTTTCTTTGTGTGGTTTGATTGGGGTAATTTGTTCTAGTTTTTTTTTAAATAAACATATATTACATAATATATATTAAATATATATAATGTTAGTGTGTATGCTTGTGTTGTCAGCATGTAAGTCCGTGCATCAAGTACTCGTGCCTGGTGCTCAAGGAGGCCAGAAAAGGGCATCAGATCCCCTGGAACTGAAGCTCCAGAGAGTTATCAGCTGCTGTGTGGATGCTGGGAACTGACCCAGGTCCTCTGGAGAGCAGCCAGTCCTTGTTATTAACTGCTGAGCCATCTCTCCAGCGTTGGTTCTAATTTTTAGTTCATGATTGCTCCTTGGTCCCCTCTAGTCCAGTTCATCTGTTGAGCTTGTAGTCTGGGTTGTTATGAACCTGCATATTTTTCCATAATCAAATGTGTGTGATTGTTCATTGAAGCATTTTTACCCTGGCTGTTCAACTCTGTACCATGTAATTCTTATCATTTCAGCATTAGCATCATTGATTGTGCCTTTTTCATTCAGTGTGAGGTCTTCTGTTTCATGATACGAGCAGAGATGTTTGCAACTTAGATGTTTTCATTTGCTGTTCCTGAGACTCTGACCCTTCCTAGTCTTCTGTGTTAGCTGGCTACTGGCTCGGCTCTGTTGAGGAGGTAGGGTCCTTGCTTCGTCCCCACCGGTGGAAGCAGGTGACAGGAGCAAGGGGAGGGACGCAGCAGGTATCCAGCCTCTGACAGGAACAAGGGGAGGGATGCAGCAGGTGTCCAGTCTCTGACAGGAACAAAGGGAGGGACGCCCTTGTTACTGCTGGGTGGAGGGGGTTTCTGTCTCCTCACAGGGTCTTCCTGTTAATGGGGCTGAAGTCCCTGACTCCATCCTGATAATTGGGGCCTAATTAGCTTTGTAAAGTAGAAATCTTAGTTCCTCCTTTGTGCTGGTACAGGTATGGAGGGGTTGGGCCCCAGTGCCCTCTCTACCCATAGAGCAAGGCAGTTATATTGTCTGAACTTTAAGCTCTAAAAATCTAAAGATTTTGTCTGCGAGGCTGCCCTTTTCTGGCCCTTTGCCGAGGGACAGCAGGCTTTTCTGGGGGACTTTATGTTTCTACCTCTGGGCATTCCTGATGTCAGCTGCTTTGGCTTTAAGTCTGCACATAGCAGATGAACAGAAAATTCAGGGAGCCCACCATCATGTTATTCCCAGGACCCTGGTGTTTCTGGCCGGTCCACCCTCTCCTCACTCTTCATAATCTCATTTGGTTTGTCATCATGCCCCATTCTTTCTCTACTCGGCCAGTCGACATGTGGAGTTAGAATCCAGCCACCCTGTGCCGGCATTCCGCTGTGCTGGACTTCAGCAATATGTTCTGTGCTCCAGGAGAGGTCTCAGACAGAGGACTCTGTCTCTTGATCTATTCGTTCGGCTTATGTTATGCCTGAAGCACGCCCATGATGGGTCATTTGTGAAGGGTTTCTAAGGTTTCGTAGAAAGTTGAAAGCATGGCTCATGTGACAATTTCACGGGCGTGTTTGGGAAAGCAATTGAAAGATTAATGGAGGATGGATTAAACCCTGATGACTAAAGAGTTCAGAGAACCGAAGGAATTACGAGATTGACTTTTACAAACCAAACAGTACGAATAGGAGTTGTATGCTCATGGAAATTATATTTGAGTGAGTGTGTGTATGTGTGTGCATGTTGTGGCTGTGTGCATTGACCTTCGTGTGCTAGTTATGGTCACTCAAGAGACTTTTCCTTTGGCATGTAGGTTCAACGCATACAGTTGGATGAAAAGTTCATCAGAGATAGTCAACGCAAGCCACAACCGGCTCCTGATAAGGAAAATAAGAAACTGCTGTGTGGGAAATGCAAGGCCTTTGCGTGCTACACGGCTGACATCCGAGTGGTGGAGGTGAGCTGCCCTGGCAGTCTCGGGTACCAGTTAAAGCGTCTCATCTCCTGGAGAGACGTTTGTAGCTAGGACACTATGGCTTCTGTTGTGGCTGTTGTCCACGGTCCTTGTATTAATAAAGTTGTGCTTTTGTGTGGGGGCCAGAAAAGCTGATATCATGGAAGCATGAAGTGGAATAGAGGTGCTGGAGGCTAGGCAGGAGAGGGAGGTCTAATCCAGCTGCCACATGGATAAGGGTTAGGGTTCTCCCACACGGCAGGGCAAGCACTGTTTCCCATTCATTCCAAACAAATCAGACGAGGGGAATTCAAAGCTTCATAACATGAAGAGGTGAAAATTGTTCAGGCAGAAGGGAATGCTAACGACTCCGATTGGTCATTCCATGCTCAGATTATCACACTGCATACTATGAATATGGACAATTGTGTGTCCTTTAGATAAAAATAAGAAAGTCCCTTTGAAGGACAGTCTCACGGTATTGACCAGGCTGGCTTCAACTTGCGAGTCTTCTGGCTCTCAGCCTCCCCTGAGCAGGGACTACAGGCATGCGCCACCACTTTGGCCAAAGGAATAGTTTCTTCATGCGGCTGTAGAGAAGGGAGGCTATGCTAGATGCAGTGTTGTGTCCTCGATCAGCTCCTGGGACAAATAAAGGCTTGCGCATAAAATTCTGTAATGAAAAGAAAGGCACCGGTGCTGGCTTCTTAGCTTAGGAAATGCGTGAACGCATATAACTGTGTGCTTCTGCGGAACTGGTTAAAGGCATTCGGGAATCTTCCTAGCCCTTTCTGCAACTTTACCGTATGTCAGAAATTATACGAAAGGAACAATTAGGCTGAGACTTTGAAGCACATATAATAGAGTGAAAACCTGCTAGGAAATAAATCGAATACAAAATTATAAAGATGCTTTCCTTAGGCTGAATGCCCCATGAGCAGCAATACCTTGGGGTCCATCTTCAGTCAAGAAAAGAAATGAGGATAAAGGCTAAGTATATAAAAATGTTATATTCTGATTAAGAAATTCTTCCTATTTTGTTTTCTAAACTTTTTTGGGACAGAGAACACTTCGTTTTTTCCCCCTGGTTTTCAAGACAGGGTTTCGCTGTGTTGCCTGGTCTGTTCTGGAACTTGCTCTGTAGCGTGAACTCGAACTCAGAGATTACCTGCCTCCGCCTCCCAAGTGCTGGGATTGAAGGTGTGCACCACTGCTACCCAGCTCCACAGCACATTTCTGTAATGAAAACCAAACACCTTATTTAAAAAATGCAGCACAGCTGGGGGCAGCGGTGGTGACACCAGCCTTTTTTCTCAGCATCTGGGAGGCAGAGGCGGGTGGCCCTCTGAGTTTGAGAGAGTGAGTTGGGCTACATAGAGAACCCATGTATTGAAAAATGGAAAGGAAAAAAAAAAAGTAACACTTGCAGGTTAGCCTTCGACTTTCTTCCCCTTAAAACTTTTTTTTTTTTTTTTTTTTTTTTTGAGACAGGGTCTCTTTATGTAAAATCCTAGCTATCCTGAAATTCAGGCTGGCCTTGAAGTCATAAAGAACCACTTATCTCTGTGCAGGAATTTAAAGGTGTGCAGCACCCTTAAACTGGCCCCCTTAAAACTTTTAATTAAATGCCGAGGGGGTGGTAGCACGTGCCTTTAATCCCAGTAATTGGGAGGCAGAAGCAGGCAGATCTCTGTGAGTTCAAGGTCAGCCTGGTCTACAAGAGCTAGTTCCAGGACAGGCTCCAAAGCAACACAGAGAAACCCTGTCTTGGAAAAACAACAACAACAAAACAAAACAACAACAACCTTTTAATTAAAGGTTGGCAAAACCTCCAGAGATGAATGCTGGTATCATTCTTGCAACCAATGGAGGGTGGTGCATAGCTGAGCTACCTAGGGGATGGGTTATTGGAACCATTTGGACTAGAAGCATATTACTTATTACAAGTGACTTCCATTTTCTGAATCTGGTCCTTTAGATGTAGAAGGTCCCTTCAGCTCCAATTTCAATGCTTTCTTGTTCACAGTGGACCCTTTAGACACCATTTCCCTGGAGGATGGGATGCTGGGTCTGCCTTGTTTCTGCAGGGTACACGCTTAAGTCAACTATAGGTAGGGCCTGTGGACAGTCCAGCTCCTGAGCCTCTTCACACACACACACACCGGCCCTTGGGTGTTCATCCCTGTGCTTCGGTTTGTGCCTTTCTGGCCTCCGGTGACCTTGTACCCTCCTCACTTGCATCTCCCCCTGACCATGCAGGAAGCCCAGTACGTAGATTCTGCTCTGGCCTGTAGGAGACTCTCTGTCCACAGTCTCTTCTGTTTCCATCTGTAAAATAAAGGGATTCCACTCACTCTTCCTCCTTGCCTACTGAGCAGTTTTTAAGCCGTTCTTGAACTGTTTCTAATATTCTTTTGTGTTCAATCTCTTCCTCACAGAAATCCCACTACACCGTGCTTGGAAATGCTTTTAAGGAGCGCTTTGTGTCTAAGCCGCACCCTAAGCCAAAGATCTACGACAGTTTCGAGAAGAAAGCAAAGATATTCTGTGCCATACAGAAGTGCTGTCACGACTGGGGGATCCATGTGAAATATAAGACGTTCGAAATTCCCGTCATAAAAATCGAAAGTTTTGTGGTGGAAGACATCGCAAGTGGAGTCCAGAGGCGGCACGCAAAGTGGAAGGACTTTCATTTTGAAAGAGTACAGTTTGACCCTGCAGAAATGCCCATATGAAACGCCAGGCCGTGGTGGTGCACGCCTTTAATCCCAGCACTCGGGAGGCAGAGGCAGGCGGGTCTCTGTGAGTTCGAGGCCAGCCTGGTCTACAGAGCTAGTTCCAGGACAGGCTCCAAAGCTACAGAGAAACCCTGTCTAGAAAACAAAACAAAAAAAAAAAGAAAGAAAGAAAGAAAGAAAGAAAGAAAGAAAGAAAGAAATGCCCAAATGACCTCGGGGCTCCTTAGTCTTGCAGTCCAGGGAGCAATGATGACCCAGTCCTGTCTTACACAAGCCTACACCGTGTGGAATGCCAGATAACTTGATGTTTGTTCCAAGCAGTTCTCGTCCACACAGAGCACGTGCACATGACCTGCAGCACTGAATACTTTGGTCACCAGTAACTGTGGGTTGGCAGTGGGGTGGGGGAGGGGCGTGTTAAAAACTTCCCTTTTATACTTTTCAGAACTGCCCATGATGGATGAAGTGCCTGCCACAAGCTGGCTTTGCCCTTAACACTCTACCGAATTCTGACTTTGTTCTTTTCAAGGCCACCAGACAGACTGTCAAGTCCAATGGGTACTTTCTGATTCTTGCATTGGACTCTTTCCCCGCTTTTGGCTGTCACTCACATTCTGACACAGGTATAGGCGACTGCAAGGTTCAATATGCACACATGTGTGTACTGAAGTGACATATACCTTTAAAAGTTAGAACACCATAGCAGACAGCGGAGCAGGTGCCTCTGTTCTGCGCCTTTGCTATGCATCTTACTCTAAGATCTGTCCTAACTGGGGCCGTTTCCCCTCCTTGACTAGACATCTCAAACCATCCCTGCCCCCCCCTCCCCCCCGCCTCTCTCTTCCCTTGAGACAGAATCTCCCTGTAGACCAGAAACTAGATGTGTGGACCAGGCTGGCCTTGAATTCACAGTTCCCCTCATCTCTCTAGTGCTGGGATTAAAGGTTTATGTAATCATACCAGGCTCTAGCTATTTTCAATAAAGTCTAATGCTTACTTAACACTTGGACTATTTCTAGTTAATGCTTTTTTTTTCTTTTCTTTTGCTTTTTGAGACTAGATTCCTGGAACTCTCTCTGTAGACCAGGCTGGCCTTGGTCTCAGAGATTTGCCTGGTTTTGCCCTTCAAGTGCTGTGACGGAAGGTTTGCTCTGTCTTCTTAAATATATAAAACTTAATATTATATATAATAATACATAGTATAATATATATTATTGCATCCCTGTATCTCTTGTCAGGGTTTACTAATGCATCAGAGAGCTTAGGATGGGGTTCTTCAAATCAAGAGATAAGTGCCTGAGTGTTGTTGCTGCCCATACAGCAAGGTGCTGTCTTCAGTTTAGGGCGGAGCTGTACTGCTTTGGAGGCAGCGCAGTGATGTAAACACCTTTACAAAAGCTATTTGTAATTCATTAGCCCCCTCAATGGCCTGAACAAAACTGCAGAGATCATGTGACCATATAACTCTTTCACATGACATTTATATATTTGAATACTATCCCCAGACTACCTAGTGCACAGTGTGCCCCCCAAGTCAACCCTGGAGGTCAACAGAATGACATGGGATAGCACCCCACTTGTTCTGATGTCCAGGGCAATTAACCAGCAACATGATTTTTTTTTTTGAAAAAAACAAACTGCAGGGATTTAGGCTTTTGATTGATAGACTATATGAAAAAAGGATTATCTATATAGTAGTCATTGGTAATGGTTACTGGTAAAATTCTTAAGATGCTATAACGTGGGTTAAATGAATTTTCTAAGTGCTGAGTTTCATCCTTCATGTTTAACATGTGATGATGTCTTTCTTTGCTGCTACCGTTCAGAACTCTGTAGCATGTATGAGAGATCTACCGGAAACTATTTGAAAAGAACCGCTTAAATATTACAGCGATTCGATTAATTCAAAACCATTTATATATTTGTGTATATGGGTGTTCTGTCTGCATGCCCATTAGAAGAGGGCATTGGACCCCTCAGATTGCAGTTACAGATGGTTGTGCGGGTGCTAAGACTTGAACTCAGGACCTCTGCGAGAGTAGCCAGTGCTCCTAACTGCTGAGCCAGCTCTCTCTAGCCCCTGCCAATGATGAGTTATTTGAAGTGGAATAACCCTTTCTTTGCCAACGGGGAAAAGCATACTAAAGCTGAAACTGAACTGAGAATTTGAGTTGTACACAGAGTTAAGCCACTGCCAGATATACCGTGGGATGGAGCAAACCCTGGGCTAGTGAGTACTGCATGAATAAATCAGGCAGGGTCTGAGAAATGCCAGTATGCTGATCTTTGGACTTCCTAATGGCAGGCTGCATCTGGACTCTCCCACAAACCCGGGACCGGTCCCCACTAGAGTCCTAGCGGTTGCCAGCATGTGTCCTTTTTGAAGTTCAGATACAGCTTGTTCTACAATCACAGACCTTGTTATTTTGTGGTCAGTGCTGATCCTGCAGCGTTTTCATCCTGAAATGGAATCCTCAGAGGTCTCATTGTGCAATAAGGTTGATAAATCCTGACTCCTGTACTTAAGACAGACTCAGCGTTAACTAGGTTTCAAATGCCAGGCTAACCAGACGACACTGCTTCTGTGAGCAAGTCCTTTGGTTCAGTGCTGTGAGGGCCTCTGGGGCATGCACTGCACAGCCAGGGAGGCCTTGCCTGGTATTTACAGCACAGGTAATCATTGTATTGCTGCTGGCACACTCACATCCATTTAAAACCAGTGGTTCTGAAAACACTTCTTCTGTTCACTGGACACTGTTAATTCGCGTCCTGTAGGAACTCAGGGATAGATTTATGGCCAGGATACCAGCCAGCCAGGTGAGATCAAAGTGCACTATCAACTTCTGGATCACGTCAGTAAACCGTTTTAATGCACCGTAAATATAATTACCATTCACTCTACAAATCTGTATTTAATAGGCACGCACAGGCTTGCTGGGTGCAAGCTTTGAAAACCCCTAATAAAAATACCAGCTTTGATTACCTTTGTTTATGGCAATTTGACCGAGAACAGAAATCGGCTGAGTGCTAAGTCTGTGGTGATGACATTTTAGCAGCTTCCTAAAGCAGCCAGTGGGACCACAGTTATCATTTTCACAAGCAGGGCTGTGCTGCTCCTTACAACCCACGGGCTGTCCAACCCAGTGCCCCACTGTGTCAACTGTGCTCTGAAGGCACCCAGTTTGAACATGGTCTCCAGAGGGTGGCACTGTTAGGAAGGTTGTGGAACAGGAAGCGGTGGAGCCTCTCCAGAGGAAGTAAGTCAGTGGGGATAGATCCAGAGACTTTAGAGCTGGTTCCACTTCCTGTTCACTCTGCCTCTTGCGGCTATGTCTTCTCTAGCATGAGCCCTTTTCCTGTACGTTGCTTTTGTCAGGGTGTATTCCTACAGGAGCAGAAGAGTAACCCAGACACTGATACCATCCCGAGGAAGCTGGGCCAAGGTGTATTCTTACATTACAGTAACTCAGACATGGTCCCGAGGAAGCTGGGCCAAAGTTAAGGTTCTTCACCCATGAGCAAAGTCCTATTGCCTGTGCCTCTGGCAACTGTTTGCAAAGAATTAAGTGACAGCAAACATAGTATGCTAGCCATAACCCTGACCCATGAAGGGACTCAGAAGAACAAAGAGATGCTGTCTCGGAGCCCATGAGAACGTGGCTCAGAGGGGAGATAATAAGTAAGGAGCCTGAGTTTAAATCACTGGAATCATCTAAGCCTGACGCCACGATGTCACTAGCCTTTTAGTTACATGGACCAATTTAGTTCTTTTTCCCTTTTGCTTAAAACTGACATGAATAGCATATCCTTCCTTTGCGTTGTATATACACACACATACACACCACGAAAGGTACATGTACTTTGTTGCTGTGTTAAGTAAACTCGCCAATTACCTCATTTTGGATGCTAAGGAATACTTGTTCTTCAGGAAGAATAAGGCAGTAGTGCACTTGGAAAGTCATAAACACCAATGAGATTATCCTCCCTTTCCAAGAGGAAGAAGCGGGTGGAACCAGCAGGAGCTATACTTCCAACTGGAGAGTAAGTGGGCCAGCACCACCTCGAGAACTCAGGTAAAAGGTTGTACAGTCTTATTTTGGACGAGCATAGGGCACAGGCCAAGAATACTGAAGCGGAAAGAACAGAAGATGTGTTTGGATAGAGTTGAGAGCGAAAGGGCCAGGGTCACAGCCACAAGACACTGCCCTCACGACCAGTATCCTCGTCCACTCAGGCTGCTGCGACAGCATCTGGATTGCGTAAGCACAGACATTTCTAGAGGTTGAGAAGACCAAGATCAAACACCCTCTCCCCTCAAAACCGCCAGTCAAGAATACTTTCCCTAGAACATCTATTCTAAAATGAAGAGAAGATAAAGACTTTCCCAATGTAAGATGACCACGTCATCTCCAACAGACTTGTCACAGGAAATGCCGCAGGCAGCTCTTGAAGCCGAAGTGAGGAACAAGAAAAGACACAACAGCACAAAACTCACAGGTAGAGCAAGCACACACTTCGAGAACACAGCCGTAAGGTATGTAGATCTTTTACTGCCACTTACTTCCATTTTAAAGGGTTAGAGTTAACACTATTAAGATGCTCAACAGTTACAATCATTTGGTAAGAGACGCACGATGTAAAAACATGTCAAGTGTGGAATTAAGATACAAAATGTGGCAGGGAGTTTTTTTTTTTTTTTTATGTGATCAGAGTTTCACTGGCGTTTAAAACAGCCTGCAGTATCACATGACCCCTGAGGATCTCCAGGTGAGCATATTTCAGTCCTCTGGTTGGCACACAAAAGACGCCAATGAAGAGCATCACCTGCTCACACGGGAAGGTGTGAGAAGACAAAGGGACAAAGGGACAACATCGCTGCTAAGCAACCAGAGCGACACAGAAGGAAGTCCTCACCTACCAGCAACAGGGAAGCATTTTAGAAATGTGCAAAAAAACCCTCATAAATATTATATTCCTGGACAATTAAGGAAATTCATTCCGTGGAAAAGTTAAAGTTATTAACATGTCTGCACTAACACCATGCTCTGAAGATTCAACACAATCCCATGAAATTTCCAGTGCTATTTTCCCCAATGATGTTCTTCTAAGAAATAAAAGCCATCTTACTACGTACATGAAACCACAAGACTCCCTCCAGACCAAGATGTGCTGAGCGTAAAAACAAAGCTAGAGTCATTACTGTTTTTCTTATAATTTATTTTTATTTTATTTGCATTGGTATTTTTCCTGCATGTGTATCTGTATGTGGAGTCAGAGACAGCTGTTAGCTGCCATATGGGTGCTGAGAACAGAACCCGGGTCCTCTGGAAGAGCAGCAGTTAGTGCTCTTAACCACTAAGCCATCTCTCCGGCTCCCCTAGAGTCATTACTGTTACCTCACTTCCAAAGACACTACAAAGACACAGCAACACAAATAGCATGGTGCTAACACAAAAACAGATGCAGAACCCAATGGAGAGGAACAGAGGTCTCCAGAAAGAAAAACCTACAGGTTGGCTAAATGACTTGACAAAAAAGCCAGGAATACACATGGAGAAAGAGCTCTCTCTTCAGTAAATGCTGTTGGAAAAAATGGATGGCCACATGCATAAGAATGAAGTCGAACCCTTATTTTATACTATATATAAAAAAATCAACTAAAAATAGATTGAAGGCTTAAGCATAAGACCTCACGCCTCAAAAGCGTTAGATAAACACATGGGGAGAATATGGCATTGGTTATCGTAATGGCTCTTCTGGACTAGTTCTAGTCAGAGCTTCAAAAATGAAAGCAAAGAAAATGAAAACAGGCCCATCAGAATGCTTCAAAATAAAAGTTTTATAGCCAAAGTCAAAAGTCAAGCTGACAACAAAATAGGAGAAAATATTTGATAGTTTCTCTCTAGAATATGCGGTATTAAAATTCAACTACAAAAAAACAAATAATTCAATTAAAAGTGGGCAAAGGACTGAGACATTTCTCAAAAGAAGTTACAAAATGACCAACGTGTATTTGAAAATATGCTCAACATCATGTACC